TCAGCAGGGCTGTCCCTCGCACCCCGCCAGCGGGTCGCAGCCTGGGGGTATGGGCTGGACACAGGGGGCACTCGGTGGGCTCTGACCAAGGCGTCCTTCTTGAGGCTAGGTGAGACCACCTCATCCAGAGGGGGGAAGGGGAAACTGCAGGAATAATTTCTTAGAAGTGGTTGATTTTAGTGCTTGCAGGAAGGAAGAAGCAGCTAGTTTGCAACCTGTACTTTGCACAAACCAGAGTGGGTGCCTCGCAGTGGGCAAGGACTGCATTCAGGCAGCTGAAAACTTAATGGGAATGTATCATCAGAGCTTTTGTCCTGTCAGACCCGTGGGAAGGAAATGCTCAGCTCTTAATATTAGTTTGAGGTGATTCTCAAATGTGCCAGGTTCTTGGGAAAGTGTTGAACAGAAGCTTGCAGCTGGTGAGATGGAGAAAAACCAAAGCTTTCTGGAGGGCTGATTTGGCGCTGAAATGACCTGAGGCCCATTGCTTTCTGCTTGGAGTGCCTGGTTGGCTTTTTTCTGCCTGACTTACCAAAAACTTGCAAAGTGCAAAGCAAGAAACCTGTTATTTGCCTTTTTAAAAAAAAAAAAAAAAACAAACCAAACCACAAACAAAAGACCCCACAGCCCCGTGGCACATGAGCTACTGATCTTGGCCAATTCTTCTAATGCACATTTGGAAAGTCCTTAGATGCAGCGGTGATGAGAATGAATTGAGCATCTAAGTCTGGTAGAATTGGCAAAAAGAAAGTGTGAATGTCACAGGAGTAGTATCAATGGAAATGATATCCAGCTGGCCTGATAAGGAGAGAAGACAGGGAGAAGCAAGTTGTTCAGAGTTGCAAAAAGAAAAAAATAAGTCACTTCTACCAGTGAAAGTTTCTGAAGGTCTGTGGGTCATCCCAGGTTGGGAGGCATATGCACAGACTTTCCTAATTATTACCATAAGCCTCGAGGTCATGCAGTCCTCATTATCCCAAGGCCAGAGGCAGATAGGTCTGAACTGTTCTTTGTCTGTATTTTCCTGTTTTCAAAAGCACCCAGTGATGGGAGAGACTCCCTTTCCTAGGCAGATTGGCACAACTTGTCTGGATGCAGACACAATAAGGAATATATAATTGATTTGGTCTTGCAAAAGCCTTGAAAAGTTTGCCAGTCAAAATTGGGATTAGAGGATATGCCTTAAAGAATCACTTGCCGGCCTTTGCTCTGGATTTGACTGTGGTGTCTTGCAAATCAGAAGTTTCAGCTTCAGCCCTTCTCTGACCCCCTTCTCTGTCTGTTAGGGAAAAGATGTCACCCTAAGAGCACTCAGTGAAGACTATGCTGTAGAACTAAATAAGTTAAAGTCTGAGAACCAGCAGTTGCAGAAGGATCTAGCAGAGGCCAGAGCAAAACTGGAGCTCCCTCGGCAGGTCTGCCAGGATGAAGCCAAAGGCCCAGCTCAGCAGATGCCAGATGAAGAGCCTGAGCCCAGGGATGTGCGGTACAGGTGAGTGCTGCGTGACCCCAAGGATGCTGCTCCTTATTCTGAAGAACAGAAGGCATGGGAGTGGCTGGGTTTTTAATGACGTGCTTTATGGATAGTGTCTGTCTCCAGCACATTGGATCTGCCTTTTGGAATCTGCCTTTGTGCTCCGAGTAGCGCAATAGTTTGTAGTCCCAGCTGGTTTGCGTTCTGCAAAGCCAGTGAGTATTTGACTGTCTCTTGACTGCCTTTGCCTTTTTCTTTGGCTAAAAAGCAGTATGTGCTCTTTTCGGTGGAGGGATTACATTTTGCCCAGGCGGCTGTGCTCCTTTCTTTTGCAGTACTAGGGTGCGCAGGCTACTGTAGTTTTTGGTATCTACGATAGCAGAAGAGTGAGAAGAGAGTCCTCTAGAGACTGGGCATGCATCTGGAAGTGCTATATAAACAAGAGCTGGTTTGGGTTGCCATGGCTATTAGTAACCTGTATGTTAATTGTTATCTCTGAGCAACTTCTTGCTGAAGTTCAGCTGCCAGGAGGCAAACTGTCAAACAGTTATGTGTTCAATCCTACCTTGCAGGATGACTCATGAAGCACACCAGAAACACGATGAACAAGCAGAGAGGATCCATCCCAAGCCTGACAGGACTGTTCAGCATCATCAAGGGGAGCCCCAGAGATGGGAGGCTGCTGACGCAGGAACTGTGCCCCCTGAGATGGGTGAGCTGCCCACCCAGACCAGCAGGAAGAACTGCATGGAGTCGCTTGCTTTGGGTGACTTGCTGGGAACAGATTCTTTGCTCCATGTGCTGGATGGAAACAAAGATTTTGCAGATGAAGCACCTGAGCAGTCCATCTCAAATCATCAGAGAGAATCTGTGCCTTTGGTAAGCAGTTGTGTAGAAGCTGGTTGCTGTTCAACAGCTGAGGACATAGCTGGGTTCTCATCTGGCAAAAGGAGCCAGATTTCAGAATGTATGGTCTGGCTGCACGGTGTGTATGATTCTGTAGGCACTCGTCAATCATGAAACAGGGAGGAAAAACCACTGCTGGATGGTTAATGCTTGGACAGTGGGGGCCACCTGGTTATTCTTTAGAACTCTCTGGGGAAGGGTGCTGTGTTTGGTGTAACTGCTAAGCTAAGTCCAGAAGCTCACGGGTCTGTCCGTACTGGTGCTGTACACCAGTGTGTACGGTGACCTGCTTCTGTCATGTCAGAACTTTGCTTCAGCTTATGACTTGGGTCTGTAGTGGATGTAGAGTGCAGAGTATTTCAACATATGGTTTCTGGGTGAATCTGGAGGCTGGCACTGCACATCTACGCTCACTGTAATGCACAGGGTGAGTTTGACATCTCTGAGTGGGACTGCAGTGGTCAGCACACTGAGCTTAAAGCCACGTATGCTTCACCGCACAAGGGGAGGCTATTGTTTTTCCCGGTCGCTCATCACACTTTTTAGTAGGGAGCACTGTTGACACTTTCTCTGTCCTCTTAGCTCAGCTCAGCTGCTGGAGCACTCACCCAAGATCCAGGAAACTTGGATGCAATCACTTCTTCCTTTGGTGTTTTCCACCATATATCCCAGTACCCGCTGCAGTGCCCAGGCTGTAGACTGACCTGAGCAGGGAGGGGAATGGCAGAGGGACACCGAGAGTCACTGTCACACTCTGGGTCAGGCAGGGCTGTAGTAGTTCAGGGAGGGGAGGATCCTGGGTGCTGATCCTTGCTCCACATGTGCTGCCACTAGCAGTCTTCAGAGTATTTTCTCCTGTGGTTGTACGTTGTTAGCAGTGACAACAGCTACTTTTATTTTTTGGGGAGCCCAGAGAAGAGTTTCTAAGGCTGATGCGCAGCTAAGCAGAAGCTTATCAGGTTTGTAGATTTTGATGAGGTTTATTTTGCAGAATAGGTCTTGATTGTTTCAAGAGTAAAGTAGCTTGTGGGCATGTCCAGAAAACAAAAGTTGGAAACTTTGGGAACTAATGGAAACTCTTCAGATTGCAGGGTGGAAGCTGAACTGCGAATAGTTCCGCTTCAAGGGCTGAGAAGCTCTAGGGCTTGATGTTTAGTAGAAGAGAATGTTCTGCTTTTTGCTCTGAGAGGTAGAAATAAGGTTTGTAAGGAAATGCAAACATTTCTCCTGGTGCTGACCAGGACTCCCTGGCTCGTGGTCAGGCTCCCATGGTCTTTAAATCAGTTCCTTTAACATTGAAAGAGGAGAATTCTCATCAGTAAGTAACAGTGGGATAGGAGAGATTTGCTTGTTTCTGCAGCCTTTTTTCTGCTTCCCTTTGTTCCTGGCTGTTGATAGAAAACCAGAAAACCATGAGACTCCAGGATCTGGCAGTAACCAGTTACATTCGCTTGCCAAGACATTGAGGCAAGTTTTCTGTAATGGGAAACAGCCCGTTAGTAACTTTATAGTTCACCTGCCAGCCCTTGTGCAGGAAGCTTCTCTTCATCAACTCATAAATTAAGCCTAGTTTACAAGTTATTTTTGTAAGTTAAGACCTTGTGGTAAGTGGTGTGAGTAGCAGGAATAGTTCTTGACTGCAAAGGAAAGAATCTGGGATAGTTCATTGACCGTTACTAGCTGAACTGAAGCGGTGTTCGGTGAACTGCGATGGGAGTTTGGTCTGTACTTCCCCGGGGGGATTGTAGCAGGAACCCACTATTTCAGGGAAGCAGAGGCCGTGTAGAAAAGAAAGCAGAGATATTCCCAGTGCCGGTCCAGTCTGGAAGTTCTTTCTTCCCGGGAACCCGTATTCTGAGATGATAATGCTCACTGAGATGTTTATGAAGACAAGGAGCAAGATGTAGACCTTAAATGTGAGGCTGCACTGATACACTCCAGACAGAGCCCGTGGTATGTTGTAGTGAGCTTCTCTGGAGTCGTGCTGTGATTGCACATGTGATGCCATGTTGTTCCCTCTCACCGTTTTGAGTGGAGGGGCTGGTAATTGAAGTGAAACTCCAGTTCCCCCAAGTAAACAGTCAATTCCTATCGATACCTCTGGGGTCAGGGTTCCACCTGTGGGGTGCAACAGTTCTGTATGCACAGGGAGAGCTTGTTTCTCTTCAGCTCTAGCCCAACAGTGCTTTAGAGAGGGGAACTGCTGGAATGGAGGAGTTGTGTGTGCTGAGGTGCTGGTTTTACTCCCTGCGGCTTTGGCAAAGGCTTGGGAGGTTTTCACTGTTGGTTGGAGACTGTTGGGAGGGACATTTACCTATAATACAGGCATGAGAACTGAGTGCTTAGTCTGCCCAGTGAGATAGAAATGACAGAAGGAGCCCTTCAGAAGCATATTTAGTTGCGTGGTTTGCGGATCAGTAGTGTTTCTGGCTGAAACTCAGAATGAAAGAATACCTGATATCCCTTTGTTTCCTTTTAGTGTCCCCTGCCTACAGCTTCAGTTGAATCGATAGCTGCAAGATACCTGGAAGAGGAAGAAAAGAGATCCCAGCACATCCTGGAGTGCCTAAATGCTCACATCGAGGAACTGAAAAAAGAGAGTGAAAAGATAGTGAGGCAGTTTGGACACCAGGAGTAATGTTTCTTACAGAATTTGAATGCTGGTGTACTTGCGTGGTTCCAAACTGTGACTAGAGAGGTACCTACAAACCACCTGCCGTTGGGGCTTGGGTGAGAGGCCGTATCTCCTGCTTTGAGCTGAATCGGCAGGATGGATGTTGAGGAGAGGAAACTCCTTTCTGACCTGGGTGATCTGATGGAGGGTATTACACCACAAACACTCTAGTCAGCTTGCTGTAGGTCAGGAAGCTGCAGCAGAGGTATGTTTTTATGCACTCAGAAAGAAATTATGGTGATTTTTAGAAGCAGACCATTTGCTAATTTTAATGTAAAGTATTTTAGATATTTTTTATACATGTAAAAGCATTGAAATAAAACAGAATGGAAAAACACCTCTTTTCTTGTTCGTACACATACACACAGTAAATCTCCTGTGGCTTATCTTGCTTTCTCATCCGGAACTTTGATCAACACCTTTTCCATCCTTTCCCTCCCAGAGTAGCTGTGTTCTTCAGGGAACAAAGAATATAATTCCTCTTTCCTCTAGGCTATCTGTATTTTCTCCAGTTAATTTTCCCTTAGAGGAATTTCTTAATATTTCCTGGTTCTTGCAACTTCTGCCCTTCACTATTTGTATAGTATCTGGCTTCTTTATCTTGCCTTGCACATTGCTTGAAATTCTGCAGAATGGCTGAGGAATGAATGCCTGAATTCTGATTGTGGTCACAATCAGAATAAAAGAAGGGAGAGCAGCTGGAACTGGAAATGAGATTGAATGGGAGGAGAACTCCCAAGCAAGTGAGGCTTGTCTGTACGGCAGACATAACTGCAGCCGCCGTGTAAGCTGCTGTCAGCCTGGTGTGCACCTCAGCAGTCTCGGACACCGTGCAGTCAAGCTGAACTGCTGCACTAAAATATATCTGTGACCTCTTTTGAGGAATATATTCAGTCCTTCCTCAAGGAAAGTAAGTTGTTAATGAGTGAACAGAACCTGTTTCCTATGGACTTGTCTTTCTTTCAGGGGCATTCTGCAGTTCTTCCTGTGGCTGAGCCTTCACAACCTTTGTCCAGGCAAGCCTAGGTACTGAGACATCCCTTGTCCCTGTCTGTAAGCCTCCTGTCCCTTTCACCTTGTCCGAGAGCAGCTTCAGGCTGTCAAGAAACAGGAATTCAAAAGCAGCATCCGCCTGCAAAGCCTAACCATCACACTAGGCAGATGAGCTCAACAAAGGCGATGCCTCTGCACAGACTGCAGCCTTTTTGTCATGCCCTGAAATGGGACTGCGCTTGGTCAAGCAATTCTGCATTCCAGAGTTGGAAAGCGTTTGAATCAACAAGTCCTTTTATTTTGGCTTGCTTCTGGAGTTCTTTGAACAGGGATAAAGCCTCCAAATCCATTCTGGATTCTCCTTGTGCGGTCTGTGATGAGGTGCTGGACAGGGACAAAGCCTGGTGGTGCAGTCAGCAGTGGCCTGGTTTCCTCCTCCGAGCTGCCCACAGGTGGGCATCTGTGGAACTTCCACCTTCAGGATCCAGGTAAGACTTGTTGCGCATGGGGCATTTCGGCAAAAACTGAGCAGCAAGATGGAACAAACTGTTGTTTCCCCTTCCTGCGTGAACTGATAGATCCCTGGAGTGGCTGATATGCCAGAACCCTTGCGGATTCCTCATGTCCTTCAGTGGTGACAGCTATATGGTTTTTTTTTAAATTATATCTTGCAAACCTATTTATATTTCCTGAAGATTTGTTAAGTGAGTTACACGATGCACTAAGTGTTTTCAGAAGTTCAGAAGACATTTTCCCTCATTGGTGATGTTTGCTTGCATGCCCCTGTCCTTTGGAGGCGTTTGGCAGCTAATCCTCGTGTTGGCAGGAGTGAAGAGCAAAACTGGAGATGATCTCTTTGTTTAATTAGCATCTGTAACCCTACAGTATTTATCCATTTCCAATACTTGTACTAAGCAGCTTCATTCAGGGAGTAGGTTGTAAAAATTTGATCTAAAGTGATCTAAAGAGTAAAATTTGCAGCCGAGGAGCTGCTGAAGGAGTTCTGTGTGCCGGTGCCCGTGCCCTGCCTGTCCCACCTCCTGTCTCTGCAGACACACCGTGCTGCAGGCTCTGCCTGCTGGCGTTGCTGCTGTGCAGGGACAGCAGGAGAGGAGGACAGCGGGTGAGCGAGGCAGTGGCATGAGCTGAACGGTTTCCTGCTCTCACCGCACTGCTCCTTTTTGAGCGTCTGCCTTTCTCCCAGCCAGCGTGGGAATGGCAGAGCAGCTGTCTGTGCACTGACCCTGTTTGTCCCCTGGGTCAGGAGGCCAGCGCGTGAGTAGATGGAAGCGCGGAGATGCACTTGGCAGAGATAGAAACTTGTTCTACACAGATTTAATTCACCTTCGCTGAGAAACAAGCTGTTTGCAAAACGGAGCGATCCGAATTCCGAGTGTGAAGCGATTGCTCCGCTCGGTGGAGAGGGATCACAAAACCTGCTCCATCCTAAGGCCTGCCGAGGGAGAGCTGCTAGTCCCGAGATAACGGGGAAGTCTGTTCCAGAGATGTTCTCCTGGTGTTAGAGTCTTGGCTCTGCTGAAGAATGTGCATTTTTTATGAGGGGGAGGAAAAAAGACTTGTTTATCCTGGAGGGAGATGTCACAGCAAGTACAGACTTCTGAGGTGCTTTTATCTGGGGCTGCAGGGTTTCTCCGGCGTTCTTCTCTGCCTTTGCAGTGTCAAACATCCCCTGGAATCATTGCCTGGCCCTGGCAGCTTTATAATTAATGAAGCTGAAGATGGATTTTTTTGTGCCTTTGAACTCCTGCCTTCGATAGCACAGGATAATTCCTTACACGTTAGCAGGGCTGAGCCAGATGTTCGTTTTCTGCTTGAAACAAAAATGTGGAAATGTATTTGCAGTACTTCTGTTTGTACCCACCGAGCATCTCGGAAGGGAGGAGCTGTTGCAGGCTCTGCCTGTCTTTACTCTGGTTCCGATGTTCTGTTGTGGGTGCGACAGTGCTTTGGGTCCCTCTCCGAGGGGTTAAATGTGTGTGTTTGTGCCTGTGGCTGTGTCTGTAACTGTAGGTTTTACAGCGTTGTGCAGGGGAAGGAAGGGAGATCTTGCTAGGTAGGGGGGCAATAGTGTATAAACTCTCCTCTCTACTCCCTTGGGATAATTTTTCCCCCTCCTGCCGTCTTGAGACAGAGCACATGTGAAAGGGAGCCTTGGAGGCGAGGCGCAGGGACGCGTTCACCCCCGGGCAGCCCTGCAGAGAGGCTTTCCCGCAGCTGCCCACCCCTTTGTGCCCCTCTGTGTGTGTCTGAGTGAACACCAAGCGTGTGCTTGCCTGAAAGGTGTGCATAGTTTGGCATCCTTGAGCCCGTTATGGGAGAAAAGTAGTTTTCTGTAGTACCTGAGCTCTCTGGGATGCCTCCTCATCCTCCTGTTTTAAGAAGTGATGTATTCGACCGGATCAGCTTGACCTGTAAGATGAAAGCTACCGGAATGTGTCCTCCTCGCTCTGAACCAATGGCAGCTAAGAAAGAGGAATTCTGCTGGGCACCAAAAGAAACCAGGGCTGTCTGTGCTTACAGACAAGGCTTGCTTTAGCTGTCAAGGTCCTAGGCAATCAGAAAAACCCCGTGTCTTTCTTGCATCTGCGTCGGTGCTGTCGGGTGCGTGTTGCTCCCCAGGGAACAGCTGCCTGCTGGGCTCTGAGGCTGGTTAGCGTTCCTGCAGGGAGGAGCTGCTGCTGCCGCTTCTGGAGGGCAAAGATTTGGGGAGGACTTAAAACTTGCTTTTAGGTCACGTATGGAGCCTCCTTGTCTGCAAGTACAAAGAGATCCCAAAGCATTGCTGTTGTGGAGAACTATTCGTGCAGTTTTGCAGAGACTGCAAATTGGCCGTCTCCAATGACTCGTGGTGTCTCAAAACATTCCAGCTGTAGGTAAGAAGATGGCCAGGAATGCGACTGGCAAAACCCCTGCTGAGTAAGGCCATCAAGGATGGACAGCAAACCCCTGCTGAGTCTAAGGATGGACTCAGTCTTGCTCTTACAACAAAGTAGCAAATACGTGCCGAGCAAGGCGTTGCCTCTGTCTATAAGAGGTGAATAAGCAAAGAGAAGGGGTGCTGGCACCCACCACCTGAGGACTCCTGAGATGCTGACAGACTGATCGAGCAACCCCCCCCACCCCCAAGATGTCAACGTTTTTCTCCAAGGATCCAAAGAGTGGTGAAAACTTTTCTCTCTCTTTTCTCTTTTTCCTTTCTTTTTCTCTTCAAGTATCTCTCGATCTCTCTCTCTGACACGTATGGCAACACCTTACAAGTTTTAATGCCAGCTCCTTTTGGGGCTTGTTTAGCAGGTTTTCTGTAGGTTGTTTATTTTAACATTGAAAAGTGATTGCAAGTGTTGTGAGCGGTTGCAGGTTAAGGGATTGCAAGTTTTGTGAGCGGCTGCGGGTTTCTTAGTATTGTTGGAGATGATGCTGTTGCTATCACATTGCTGCAAGATCTGGTGTTGTTGGCGGTTGGTAGTGTTGTCATGAATTGTCTTTGCCAATTAATTTGTTTTCTTTTATAATTCTGTTAAGTTTAAT